CCAACACGCTGGGCACGGAGCGCGCTCACAGCCAGCTGCTGGTCACTCGGCGCCGCGGGCCCTGCGCCCCGCCGGCCGGCGTGAGCACGGTCACCGTCGGGATCGTCGTCATCGCCGTGGTGACGAGTATCGTGCTCACCTCCCTGGTGTGGGTGTGCATCATCTACCAGACGAGGAAAAAGAGCGAGGATTGCAGCGTCACCAACACCGGTGAGTCATTTCGCTTCAAGGGCAACCGTGTCCGGCTTTCGGAGTCCTCCTCTCACGCTTATGCGGCTCGCTTCTCTGCAGACGAGACCATCGTCCCTCCCGACGTGCCGAGCTACCTCTCCTCTCAGGGAACCTTGTCAGAGCGCCAGGACGGATGTATCCGCGTCGAGGCCGCCAACGGACCTCAGCCCAATGGACACGCCGTCGACTCGACAGGTAGCTGGCCGCCATCTTTGATTGTGGGCTGCGCGACTGGCCACTCACGAGCCGATTCTTTTGACATCGCGTTCTACGATATTTGGCAGAAAAGCAATCTGATAACTGAGTCATGAATAGAATGACTTTTGTTTTGGTACCTCAACACTTAGAACAACCGAGATTTGAGGAAGAATGAAGATGATGATGATAAGCAATCTGATAACTGAGTCATGAATAGAATGACTTGTTTTGGTACCTCAACACTTAGAACCACCGAGATTTGAGGAAGAATGAGGATGATGATGATCATCATCAATGAAGTTCCATTCCATGTCCTCCTCTTTAGCCGAACATCATCACACGACGACGTCCGCTTGATTAGTTCCCCAATTCCCTGCAGGCTTCGACGGTCCGGTGATGTGCACGGACTGTCTGGAGAGCAGCGAGCACTACTCCAAAGACCCGGACTACCGGGTACACGGCTTTGCCCCATCGGGGCTTCGCGAGTATCATCAGCACGTCGCCCCTCCGCCCTACTCGCACTGTCACCCGGCGGATCGCACAGCACCCCTCTGCAACGGGACCCGCGAGGACCGCGACGTGCATCCGTGCGATCGAGAAGGTAAAGAAGATGTGCGCGCTCTTCCAAACGGCCCCGTTGGAATTTGAGAATACATGTGGGGGCAAATACCGTAGCTTCGGTCGTCACCGGTGATTGATTGGCGAAGACCGGCGGCTCAAAGTGTAACAGCGTTGCATGCCCCGAGCTGCGAGAGCGAGCGGGCGCTGCTGCCAAACTCTTCATCGCACGCCCCAACTTGTCCCCCTCGCTCTACAGCCGCTGCGGCGGCAGTCGCGGATGCGGCCCACGGGCCGTGCTGCGCGTTGCGTCACGAGGCCACCTCACAGTGGCAAATCTCCAGTGTGGTTCATTGCTTTCTGCTTCATGTCATCCACCTTCCCAGCGAACAGAGCCGGAGGATCGCCGGCTGCGTACACGGCGCGGGAAGATTCTTTTCACCCTCCGGTGAAGCTGACAAGCCGAGGACATCTCGACGGTGACTGTGAGCCCGAACTCAGGCGGACTCTGCTGTCCAACGGCCACGCCGTCAGCTCCTCGCCCACCCGCAGCGCCCCCCTAGAGGAGAGTCACCGATTCGCGGCGGACTCGCTCTAGCTGCGTGGACCTTTTTTAGTTTTCTTTCTTTGCACTGGGAAATAAACTGCTACCTCATATCGAGGCCAGGCGCTTCCGAGCCTTGGAGCACCGAGGAGGGGGCGGGGAACCCGGAGGTTGAAGACGGAGCTTGTGTGGGTGGCGTCCCATCTGAGCGTATGTGCTGTACATAGTTTAAAAACCTTCTGTTGGGAGGTGACCAGTAAGATTTCTCGCTCTGAAAAAAAATGTGACTTGCATTTGAAGCAAATACAGTACAGCAGAGAGTATTTGCCTTCTTCTCAATTTCATACTTTTTTGCATCGTTTTCCCTCCAATTTCATCCTCAAAATTCACAAGACTTCTGGGTGAATATGATCTGAACTGATGAGCTGAAAATGAAATGAAAAAATGAAGGGGTGTGTGTCTTGTTGCATCTGCCACAAATGGAAGAAGAAAAAAAAGAAAACAGTGAAACATTTTGGTGGTCGTGTGATGGTCTGCTTTAGCACTTCAGGACCTGGACGACTAGCTCTGAACCATGAATTTTGCTCTTTATCAGAAAATCCTGAGGGAGAATGTTCAGCCATCGGTTCGTGCTCTTAAGATGAGGCGCACTTGGGTTCTGCAGCAGGTCAACTTTTGAATGGCTTTGAAATAACCCAAATTGGCGGTTTTGGAGTCAAGTCAGGACTTGAATCCGATTGAAATGCTGTGGTAGATTGATCAGTCACCATTTTATGTTTACTTGGGTTATCTTTCGTGTGTTTGATCTTCAATTTGGTGAACTATGCAAAAAAGTAAGAATTTGAGTCGCGGGCAAATACGTTTTCATGGCACTGTAAACGTCGGGAACCATGTACAGTATGTGAATGTGCAGGGACTTGAGACTGTACACAAGAGTTTTCCGATATATCTTTTACAAAACAGAATTTGGATTTATGTGCATGACAAAGGAGTGATAGTATTTTATTTTTGTTCAGAGGACAAAGAAACGGAAAAAAAAAAAACAGCCCTCTTTCAGCTTTGACCAACAGTCAGCTGTGGTGCCTTATTGCATGGTCAAAGAAAATGTGTAATAATAGCTAGCGTACGAGAGCTTTTATTGAGAGACACTGGTACACTCTTGCAAACACAACACTTGATTGCACTTGAATGTTTTCTTTTCTCCGAAGCGATCCAAGCAGTCGCAGCCAAATGATGATTCGACTACTTTGATTAGCGCTGGATGTTGTATGAAGGACAAGCTTTTGGTGGCAATGATGTCTGTGTGTCTGAATGGTGGAGGGTTGCTGCCAACAAAAGTGCTTGTGAGCTCCCTTCCCAGGCAGCCGGAATGCCGTTTCCCAAAACAAGAAGCTTTGCATCTTGAGGTCGTGAGCGGCCCCGAAGGCCCGAGTCAGCAGAAAGTCACGCTCAGCTCTGGAGCCGGAAAAAAAAAAAAAAAAACTTGCGACCTCTGTTAGCGTGGTCAAGGGAATCCAATCCGCGCGCAGCAGCCACGGCGTGGGGATTGCTGCAGCTTTCGGGCAAAGGCAAGTTGTGTCCCTTTATCTGAACTGAGACCCCCGTCAAGGTAAATGAGGGCTCACGCACGGCCCAGGATGGCAGCGGTTTCCCGTTAGCGTCGCGGGGAAAAGGGACAAACGGCTCAACGTTAATTTATTACAACACAACGAATGTCGGCGCTCAAAAAGCTAACGTGTGCGCCATGCTGTTGAAGTGTCAAATAAAATCCCATTTGGCTTTACCGGCTGGATTCCCGTTCGTTTCTCTCAACACAATCAAGGTGTGTTTTGCTTTTGAGTCACGTGGCCGAGTTGGCTTTTGGCACAGATCACATGGTTGGGTGGGGGTGGGGGGGGGGGGGGGGGGGGCATCAATTCAAATGGAGCGTGCACAGCAAACATGGAACCAAAGACCATGATCTTCAAACACGCATGCACGCGTGCATATATTTGCATACGTAGCTGATTTTTCCCAACAGGAATGTGTCGCGGGCGGCCCGTGGTTAGCGCGTCGACCTCACAGTGCAGAGGTATTGGGTTCAGTTCCAGCTCCGGCCTCCCTGTGTGGAGATAACATGTTCTCCCCGGGCCTGCGCGGGTTTTCTCCGGGTACTCTGCTTTCCTCCCACATTCCCAAAACATGCATGGCAGGCTGATTGAACACTCTAAATTGTCCCAAGGTGTGAGTGTGAGCACGGATGGCTGTTTGTCTGTGCGCGCCCTGCGATTGGTTGGCAAACGGCATTGCGCAAGACGTGCATTCAAAAGTTGGAGCGGGTCAAATGAAGTTTACCGCGTAAAGACTTGCTCAAAATGGAGCCAAAACAAAATTGCCAAGCTTCTCACGTCAAAAACTGAAGTCCTTCACAGCACTGACAGGAAACATCTCTCTTCTTCTCGTTTCTGGCTGACAGCAGTTGTGCGGAAGCCCCGGGTGGCCGCGAGAGGTCCGCTGACGGCTGCTCCTTGGGCTCCCGGGCGGAGGCGGTCGCACGTTTAGGACAGCAAAGTGCGGCGGACTTTCTCGTAGGCTCCCAGGAAAATGAAACCGCCCGCGCTGATGAAGGTCATCCTCGGTATGCTGCCCGCGAACAGCCTGCCGACAAAAAGCCACGTTAGACAAGACGCTTCTGCTCTTGCGAACCGCCGAGGACCGCTTCGCGCACAAGCGGTGTGCCGAGCTGATGTCGGAGTCAAAACCTTGAAATCACGATCGATTGCACGGAAACGAAAATGCTGCACGGCCGCTGCGACACCAGGGAAGCGGCATCGTGCGTTGCTCTGAAGATGGCCTTTCGAGCAATCAATCATGAATATCCAAAGTAAAACGCCTGGTCAAATCGGTTTCTTAGGTCAAACAAAAAATGAAAACATCTCAAAAAAGTGCAACATTTTTAACATTTCCATTCACATTTTTTGGGACCTCATTTTTACTTGTAGGGACACAAAGTCATCCCTCGAGACGGCCGATTTGCACCCTGCCCGTGGCGCAGTTGACTTTGTCTTCACAATTGTTGACAGAAACTTGTGGAGTGCGCAGCCTCCGACTGTTTTGAAACTTTCTCGCGTGAGGCATGATGTCTGAAGGGATTTTTTTTTTTTAAAGGGGCTGGTGTCGCGGGCGGCCCGTGGTTAGCGCGTCGACCTCGCAGTGCAGAGGTATTGGGTTCAGTTCCAGCTCCGGCCTCCCTGTGTGGAGATAACATGTTCTCCCCGGGCCTGCGCGGGTTTTCTCCGGGTACTCTGCTTTCCTCCCACATTCCCAAAACATGCATGGCAGGCTGATTGAACACTCTAAATTGTCCCAAGGTGTGAGTGTGAGCACGGATGGCTGTTTGTCTGTGCGCGCCCTGCGATTGGTTGGCAAACGGCATTGCGCAAGACGTGCATTCAAAAGTTGGAGCGGGTCAAATGAAGTTTACCGCGTAAAGACTTGCTCAAAATGGAGCCAAAACAAAATTGCCAAGCTTCTCACGTCAAAAACTGAAGTCCTTCACAGCACTGACAGGAAACATCTCTCTTCTTCTCGTTTCTGGCTGACAGCAGTTGTGCGGAAGCCCCGGGTGGCCGCGAGAGGTCCGCTGACGGCTGCTCCTTGGGCTCCCGGGCGGAGGCGGTCGCACGTTTAGGACAGCAAAGTGCGGCGGACTTTCTCGTAGGCTCCCAGGAAAATGAAACCGCCCGCGCTGATGAAGGTCATCCTCGGTATGCTGCCCGCGAACAGCCTGCCGACAAAAAGCCACGTTAGACAAGACGCTTCTGCTCTTGCGAACCGCCGAGGACCGCTTCGCGCACAAGCGGTGTGCCGAGCTGATGTCGGAGTCAAAACCTTGAAATCACGATCGATTGCACGGAAACGAAAATGCTGCACGGCCGCTGCGACACCAGGGAAGCGGCATCGTGCGTTGCTCTGAAGATGGCCTTTCGAGCAATCAATCATGAATATCCAAAGTAAAACGCCTGGTCAAATCGGTTTCTTAGGTCAAACAAAAAATGAAAACATCTCAAAAAAGTGCAACATTTTTAACATTTCCATTCACATTTTTTGGGACCTCATTTTTACTTGTAGGGACACAAAGTCATCCCTCGAGACGGCCGATTTGCACCCTGCCCGTGGCGCAGTTGACTTTGTCTTCACAATTGTTGACAGAAACTTGTGGAGTGCGCAGCCTCCGACTGTTTTGAAACTTTCTCGCGTGAGGCATGATGTCTGAAGGGATTTTTTTTTTTTAAAGGGGCTGGGATGAAGTTGTTTTGGACGGCATTTGCGATTAAAAGGCCTTCGCCCACTCACCCAGTAAGGCCTCGACTCTTCCACACGTCACAAAGCACCAGTGGGATGTTGCCGCTCGCCGTGCTTGACCCGGCCTAGGAGAGACAGAGAGAGGAGGAGACGTGACGATCCAGCGCGCGTGGCGAGAGCTAAATTGGGCTTTGGCAGAGAGCGAAGCTATTTGGTCTTCCTCAGCTAAGCTTCCTTCATCCGCCCTTTCCCAGGGACGGCCGGGTGACAACCGCAACACGGGGCCAGACAACCGTTCGGGAGCCCGGTCGGCCATTTGCCCAGCCAAACACACAGACACCTACAGTCTAGTGCTTCTTATTTACACAATAGGGTTTTGGATCCGTGGCTGTCGGGGGAGGGGGGGCATAAGCCCGCAGGAATGGGGCCGCTGGGCGTGAAGTCAACACACGTGGCCGAGAGACGCATCAAGTCGGTGACGCGTGTGGCTCACCGAGCATGAAAAAAACATCTGCTGGGAATCCTGACAACCAGATGTGCTTGAACCAAAGGTGCAGTCCCGCATTTCATCCACGCGAGAGGTGAGCAAAATGAATGACGCTCGCGTGCGTCACCTCGACGGCCGCGGAACGGCCGGGCACTCCAACGAATTGGGGTGCCTTTCACCTGCGCCTCCTCGACTTTCCTGCTTTGGTCTCGACTTCTCAGCGCATGTGGCTTGAGAATTTGGGTTATGGCGGTAATGCGTTTGCCACATTCGCGGTCTTGAGCGCCGCGCACGCAACAAACGTTCACCGTGTCATTTTGGAGGCTCACTTGCACGACAACGCTCTTTACGGGATTTAAAATGCAAACTGGGGGGGGTGGGCCTGTTGTGAATTTTGCCGTTCAGCCCTTAGAGAACAGATCGCAAATTGTTGAGAAAAAACAATGAACAGCTGCATATTCAAAAGTCTACAGAAAGGTCACGGTGCATTTTAGGTTCCTCCGGAAATCCCCCCCCCCCCACCTCCCGCCCCAAAAGCAAGACAGCGCAAAACTTTTTTTTGTGAATACTAGCACAAATAAAATACTAAATAAATGTGGACCTCAGACAACATAATCATAAGGGAAACTACTCAGCAAAAAAAACCCAGACTTCTAATGTACACAATAACATTGGGATCAATCCCAAATAGCAGCTGTCACGTCTCGCTGTGTTGACGTGACACGTGAGCAGAAAGCTACAATGTGCTTACGTTGGACTTTTGACAATTCCGGGCAGCACGTTCTGCTCGTGTACGCCGAATGTAAAACGCGGCGAAAAATTTCCACCTCTTGGCGTGCGCGCACCAAGTTGCTGCGCTGATGGCAAGTTTCAGCAGCCGCTTGGCACACATTGTCGACACAACGGTCCAGAGCCGCCCACTTCCAGTGAACCGTTTTCTGAACCAAACTTGCGTTCATTCCAGTCTCTCAGTAGGGGCGGAGCGCCCGGAGCGCCGCGTTTGATCCAAGAAGTGTCCGCAAACGTCTGCGTGGGCCGACGACGGTCCGAGCGCACGACCTGAAATGCGCACAAGACGCAGGGAGCGCAGCCCGACAGGCGGAGGCAGCTACGAGACAAGGTGTGCGTAGATACGGGTGTCGGAGGGGAGAGGATGCCAGGAGAGGAGCGGCGTTCGGGCCTTCGGGGCGGCCTCGAGATGGAAACTCATCCGAGGCAGTGCGCTCTGCTCCTCCCCTCCAACAGCAACATGTCTCGGCAGCGCTTGTCCGCAGTCCAGGCGGGAGGGCGGAGGCGTGCGCGTTTCTTGAGTTGTGCCCCCTTGGGGCCGCAGCCCGCGAGGGGTCGCCCGACCGGACCGCTTCCAAACGGCGTGTGCGCGAGAGAGCGAGGGAGAGCCTCGCGTACCTTTGCCAGCATAATCCTCGTCTTTGCCACATCAAGAGGAGTGGTCACAAGGGCTGCCACCGCACCTGCGGCGATACACAAATGTTACTCCGGCGGAGCCACATGAAAGGCGCGGGGCAGGTTTGAAGGCAAACGAAGCATGCAAGGAGCCACATGCGCCGCCACGGTCGCAGCGATATATTAAAGCGGCCATAAACGCCGAAGCGTCGTCATGGTGTTCCTCGGGTGATAATATTATCCATCTGGGACCCCCTCTGTTGGGGCTACAAAAAAAACAGACACACTT